TTTTATAGTATCATTTTAATCTTGGTTGACCTCAAGTTGACCTTGGGTTACCTTTCGTCGACCTTGAGCCGACTTTGGGTTGACCTTCGGTTTGTCTTGGGCGAACGTTGAGTTGACCTCGGACCGACCTTGTGCCGACCTAGCCCCAACCTTGACTCGGCCTGATACGAAATTTATGCCAACCTTGACCTGACCGTAGGCCGACTTTAAGTCGACCGTGAACAGATCTACGCCGAATCAGCTTCTTGACAAAATTTAAGATTTTTACCTTCAACTTTAATCTTTTCTTTGTGAAGATTTATAACAATTTTCCAGAAAATCCGCACAAACATACAGACGTACACATATACATACACTTTCTATAAACATCATATCTTCATGTTTCATGACATTCAGCATCATTTCCAGAGAAAGTTAGAAGATCGTCAGTGAAAATTAGAAGCAAAAATGATTGAAATCTAGAAAGAATCTTGAAAAATCAGAGAAAATGAATAAAAATTCGACGTCAAATATTAAAATTATCGACAGTTTCGATCTTTCTTCATGAAAAGCCTCCTGACCTCAGATTACATTTTCTCTCGTCCGACGCCGCGAAATGTACCTTCAGTTCTCAAATCGCTATTGAAACCAATTCTATATTTTTACTTCTCTAAGAAAGATGATAACCCTCTCGCAAATAGGAACCGAGGGGTTGTGATGGCCCATCGATATTGATCACATTGATCATTTGATGGAAAAAGGTCAATAATGAGTTGATAGCCCGCAGACTCAGGTTATTCTCAATATCATCTGAAAAGCGCACCTCCGTCTTTTCTAATATTTTCTTCGATATTTTTTCCCACGCCCTGGGAGTGTCCGTACCCAAGTGGAACGAATCCATCCGCGTCCGAGGGCCCCCACGGATAACTGCGAATATCCTCTTACCTCATCCCTGGTGTATTCACATGCTTTCTTGGACTACGTGAGACGTACGAACTCCATCATCCTGTATCTATTTCTAAGTATTAACGTTCGTATTGATTAAATTTTCTATTAGTTGATGAAATTGGTCTGTGAATTTGGGTCGATAGCTAGAGCAATTTTGATTGAAATGAATTTTTGATATCAGAACATTTTTGTGTTAGATCTGTGATTGAGATGAAAACTAAATTCATCGGGTTCTCTCCCTCTAAATATTTACCCGAGTCGAGGATTTGGTTCTGATTGGACGTACACAGGTGTTTCAAGATCTCTCCAGACCCAGATGGACCTGGTAAGTCCTAATCAGTTCTGTGACGTACTTTTCCAGAGACCTTTCGAATCCTCAGTTCTTTTCGGTCCTGAGAAGTCCTCCTCGATGCTACCGAGAAACCGTGATTTTACGAGCGAATTAAGGGGAAGGCATGTATGCGGAGGGTTGAAATTTGTAGCCAACGAGGAGACAGGGTTGCAGAATATATTTTAGCCACCCTCATCTCCCCGTTTGCAGGCGGTGTTTAAATAAAAAATAGTGAACGTTGATTCTGTATTTATTGACCCCCTGATGCCAATGAAACCCTCGGAGGTGACAGAAAAGGGGAAAAAAAAATTTTCATTTTCACGTGGGTCAAGGGTGA